AGAAGTAGAAAGTACAGGTATTTGGGTTCAACATGAGAGAAGTAGAAAGTACAGGTATTTGAGTTCAACATGTAAGAAGTAGAAAGTACAGGTATTTGGGTTCAACATGTAAGAAGTAGAAAGTACAGGTATTTGAGTTCAACATGTAAGAAGTCAAAGTAAAAAGTCGTCAGTAAAATAAGTAGTGGAGTAAAGTACTGAGACCAGAAACATGAACTTAAGTACAGTAACAAAGTATTTGTACTCCACTACTTCCCACCTGGGGTAGATGCTGGCTGTGTTGTCTGAGTGGAGGCAGATGAAGGCAGCTGAAGCTTCAGAGAACATCATGAAACGCACCGGGCTCTCAAAAGGAAAATGATGCAGGCGCTGGAGACCGTGAGTGAACACATGATGCTGGACTTTAGGGGGTTTCACCTGGAGACAGAGAAAGCATGTATAAGGTGTCTGAAAGTCTGTATGCATCATGGTGACATCATGGTCTACCTTGCTTATATTTTGCGTCCTCATATTTTGCGTCCTCATATTTTGTGTCCCATTCTCTTGGAAAATCAGGGTGTGATGGGGGACGAGGTCTGTTGTTGTTCTTGTCTCCTCCATAATCTTTCTTACAGGATTCCTGCAAATAATGTTTTTTGGGACTTATGTGACAAAAATCTCTGTTGTGTTGGTGGCAGACTTTAAAAGAATCACATTTTGTATCAATAACTGTTGATTTTGTGTGTGGATGACATGGAAAAACATGGGGGGACCTTTTTTTATTCCTATTTTCTTTTATCAATAATGTTCAAACTATTTTAATAAAAGAACATACATATTGTTTGGAAATCAGGGTGAAATAAATGCTATTTACAGGCAGAGATGATAGATACACGAAGTAAAAAGTGGAATACAAAACATGGGTTTAAATCATTATCATAAAACACCCAAACAATAACAAATAAAATCATCCCACATTTTAGCTACTGTAAAGCTAAAGGCTAATATGAGCTTAAATCAATTTGCTGTTAGTCCATAAAGTTACATATTTATAGCATTTGGTATCAGTTTATAAGTTGGAAAAACGTCAAAATGTGTTTTGCTTTCAGCAAACAGCACAAAGTCTGTGATCTAAGTTAATTAAGCTAAAAAAAAACTATGAATAAAGTTAGCATACCTGCTTTGAGAAAAAGTTCGTTTTCTGACCTCCCAGGGGCTATCTCTCTGTTGCTAGGCGACGGGTTGCTAGTTGCTAGGCTACATCCATTGGCAACACGTCCCAAAACTATACGGTGGCAGAAAATACGAGCAGTTAGTTTCTCATATTGTTTAAAGAATTAGATAAATTAGAGTTTTTATAAGTATAAGTACCTATAATTGACCGCAGGGCTGTACCCACTCTTTAGGAATTTAATTTACTAATGATTTTCTGCAATATACCTGTCGTGAAATCCAACGGCAAAACCCCATTGGCTTTTTGTCTAGCCAGACGGATGCTAACCGGGTTAGCTTAGATTATCAGCTTTTAAATGGATACTTTCCACACAAAAAAATAGATCTAAATACAAAATAAAACACAAACTACAGACAGTATGATTTTATTGTATAAAAAGTAAAGTTGTTAATCCATACAAATGTTATATTTATTTAACAGTAGAAATATTTACACCAACATAATAAAGGTTTCACATATTGAAGGATATTAAATAATAAGATATTTGGTATTCAGCTACATTCTTCTAATCCGTATGTGAAATTGTTTAGGAGGAAATTTAACAGAAACAGATTAATAAGATGCATGTCCAGAGTTTTACATTTTAATTTACAAGTGCTTCAAAAGGCTTCGGTCACTAAACTCTCCAGCTTCTCCTCTTCTTCAGAACTGGACACCGTCAAACTTCTTGTGAAATACTGCATTTCTATCTTTCCTGACTCGTGAGCCAGAGCTACTCCTGAATATGTGTGTTGTTGTCCCGAGTCTCCGAACACAGACATGGCCGTCACCCTGAGAAGAGAGCAGAAAATAAATGTACACACATTGTTGGGAAAATAGTGAATGTACTCTTCCAATATCAAAGTAATATGATATCAAAGGTATCCCAACTGTAGCTGAGTTCATGACAGGATGTGTGATTACCTAGAAGAGCATCAGGACTGTTTGAGGCATATGATAGCTATGTGATTAACATGATGATTCAGCCTCTATGGAGAGAGACATATGACAAGCATGCTCATTTCTGACGTGGAGCTAATCTGAAGTAAACATTGAATACTGCTTTCTATTCCTCCATCTTGTGACTGTGTAACTCCCTCTCTTTGATATCAGCATGTGAAGGACACTGTTCAGGAACTAGTTGATGCTCTGTATGTGATGACTACTTCCATTCTGGAGAGGATCACAGATACATGGATCCTGAGGTTCAAGCTCAAGCTGGAGACCAGGGAGATTTTTCTAACAATACCTGTTCAGGTGAGGTTTAGAGAGCAGCACCGGCCTCCTCTGTCTCTCCAGGTAACGAGACTCCGCCTCCGTCTCCGTTTCATCCGCGAATCTCAGGCGGCGGCTCGGAGACGACGCCGGGCGACGCCTCGATAACTTGGCTGATTGATCGCTGCTGGACGAGTCGCTGAGGTGTTCAGATGGAGCCGAGACAAAGGGAAGTAGCCGGACCCCCGACCTGTAGACACACCGCCGTTATCAATCAACCAATCAGAGTTTGTTTCTAATTTAAAGGTCACCTATTATGCTAAATCCTCTTCTTCATGTCTCTTTTACATCAACATGTGTCCCCTCTTCTTCATGTCTCTTCTACATCAACATGTGTCCCCTCTTCTTCATGTCTCTTCTACATCAACATGTGTCCCCTCTTCTTCATGTCTCTTCTTCATCAACATGTGTCCCCTCTTCTCCATGTCTCTTCTACATCACATGTGTCCCCTCTTCTTCATGTCTCTTCTACATCAACATGTGTCCCCTCTTCTTCATGTCTCTTCTACATCCTGAGACTGCCCAAGGNTCTGGCCATTAGATTTATGATTAGAAAATTATAAAAGTAGGGTAGACATGTGGAGATTACCCAACTGAACAAAAAACAAATCTGTTTGATAAATGCACGTTTTGTTCAGTTGGGTAATCTCCACATGTCTACCCTACTTTTATAATTTTCTAATCATAAATCTAATGGCCAGAAGCAAAATGCTAACGTTATGCTATAAAGGAACGACTCCAGCGGCACGACTTCAACGTCACGCCAACATCAGATCCATATTCAAACACCAGATTCTAAATGGTACGAGTTGAAGCGTTTGTATGAACAGTCTGCAGGAGGCAGGTACTTGCTTTCAAGCAGAACAGAAACAAACTTAGAGGAGTGTTTACGTGTTCGGCGTAATGACGTACAACGACCTCCACGACTTCATTAGTCCTATTCAGCCACTTGGTAACAACCATCGTTTTTCAGACACGTCAACTCTTCAGAAATCACCAGTGGGGTCACTGCTGATGGATTTAATGTCGTAGAACGAAACGTGATCCGTCTCTTACATTTGTCTCACAGACCTTATTTCCTGATATTTTCCATGACATTCCTGCACCACTCTATAAAAAGTGTGTAATCTCACCAGCAGGACTCCAGCAGGCAGGGGGTGCTGTGAACAGTTTGCTTGCAGACAGATCTGGTATCCTCCAGGTTCCTTAGATCTGACTCTGAAGCTTCCCTCCGAGCCGTGAGACCGAGACAGAACCAGCTGCAGGAAACACAGGAATAAATCAAAACAGACTGTTCAACACATGCAGTTTTGTAAAATGTAATAAAAATATGATTGACAAATTGTGGAATATGATATTCAATATCATTTAACAAAGATCTTCTACTTAAATGTTAACCAACCGGGATTGTTTTTTATCGCACGTGAAAGAGGAGAAATCTAATTAGGTACATACTTTTGAGACTCTATAGCTGATCCTTACAAAAACGAACTAAACATATATAAAAAGTAAACGCTTTAAAAAAGAATTAACAAAAGAATCATACAACTAAACACACTCTAAAACTTAATCCAGATTAAATCAGAAACGTGTAGAAAATGTCAAACAATTATTATAGTAAAGGTTTTTTTCACATTGGTGTTTTCGTGTCATTTTTATTACAGATTACTGTCAACACTGACACCAATAAACACAACAGCTAAATCACATTTTTGTTATTCCATCTCGGTTGGTAAACACAGGGATGCAAACTCATCAGGTATGAAAAAGGTGACAAGGATCCGAGCCCCCCGACCCCACGGAATATGGGCGTTAAAATGAGGAATAACAGAGGATTTCAGCAGTCAGAACAACCAAAGCAGCAGAGGTAATAATAACAGAAACGCCAAAGAGTCACATCTAATAGAAATATATAAAAGCATTTATTGTAATTATGTAGCAGTCAGTTTATAATTTTGGTAGCACTTTTTTTTTTCATGCCTCTGCACAAGGCTTAGTCTTTCTATCTGTATAGCCAGTGGTGTAAAGTAAGGTAGAATTTAGAGATACTTGTACTTTACTTAAAAGGTGGGGTATTTAATTTATTTCAGAAACACTTGTTGCTATATTCCATGGAATGCTCTTAACATCCCGATAGCAATGAATAGATTAAAAGATTTGACAATAAATCCATTAAAAAATGTCATCTGTGGAAGTCGTGGCGCTGTAAAAAGCACGACCAATCATCTGAGCCGGCCCGGCTAAAATAACTGGATGGCCTACCTGCCTGTCAGCCTTCCATCTGTGCACAAACTTATCTCGTGCCCTCATTGGTCATGTGCGCGTTCATGTGTGTTGGAGGAGGGGCTCTGTAAGGAAGTGGCAGATTTTTTCCGGTTGTGTATTTTCAAATTTTAGCGCACTCGAGCTGATTTCTCCAAAATTACCTACCCCACCTTTAAGCATTTCAATGTTTTGCTACTCTGTACTTCTACTCCTCTACAGGAGGAAATATCTCCTGAACTTCCCCACTCAATCAATCAAGACCCGAGCAGTTGTGGAGAAGTCCAAGGCACGGGCCGGCGTGTATCGGTCAAAGTAATCCCTAGCCACATGAACTTTGACCCTAGGAGATAGAGGTAAAAGTAATTTGTGAAAAAACCTGGACACTGTTTTCTAACTTAGGTTTTTCAGGTGTAAAAACCCTCCATCTGAGAGTGGAAGGCAAGTTAAAACGTGTGTTTTTATTTAATCAGAACCAAACCAGGACTAACCTTGTCATTAGGATCTTTGACCTGGACTGATAAGGTGATGTTCTGAGAGACCGGCAGGTACTCGTCTCTCTGTCCGTCAAACAGCCGGGTCCGATAGTTTCCTGCAGAGAGACGAAACACAAAGAGAAACTCGGTCAAACTAGGGCTGCTAAATACTGTGTCTTGTCAATGATATTGTGGAAATGAAGGAGTCTCGTGATTGAATTACAGTGTTAATAGACAAGGGTATGCATTCTTACGAGAGGCCTTTTGTGTGTGTGCTATTGAAAGGTGTTGCATTTGTTAACCGACTCGAGTAAAGTACCGGCAAGTGAAACCTAACTTTGACTCTTGTCATAACTCTCCCCCTTTATCAGGGGCGTAACACGAGTATACTTTCCATTATCAGGAATACAATGAGAACTTAGCTCAGGAAGTATTTCTCATGTCAGATGCAGATCGTAACAAATACTTTCAATCCATTAAAGGTGGGGTAGGTCATTTTGGAGAAACCAGCTCGAGTGCACTAGAATTTGAAAATACACAACCGGAAAAAATCTGCCACTTCCTCACAGAGCCCCTCCTCCAACACACACGAACGCGCACATGACCAATGAGGGCACGAGATAAGTTTGTGCACAGATGGAAGGCTGACAGGCAGGAAGGCCATCCAGTTACTTTAGCCGGGCCGGCTCAGATGATTGGTCGTGCTTTTTACAGTACCACGGCTTCCATAGATGAGATTTTGTTATGGATTTTTTGTCAAAGCACTTCAGATATTCATTGCTATCGGGATGTTAAGAGCATTCCATGGAATATAACAACAAGTGTATCTCGAGCCGGTTTCTCAAACTTACCTACCCCACCTTTAAAGCTTCTTTGGTTTATGTATTTCCCCCCACAATAAGTTCACCATTAAATAAAGTGATTTTGCAAAACCACCAACATTTCTGAATGTAACTTCCCTTGGAAAATATTTAAATATTAGTGACAAAATAGGCTCAGTACATTTATCTGACAGTAACTTTTAATCAGAGATGATGAGTTACTTTAATACTGTTTATCACTGTGCATTTGGACTTAAAAGGAACTTCCTCATAGTTTGTTCAGCTGTGAGCTAACTTAGCTATGTGTATGTGTTTATAGTGTATATATGTTTATAGACTCCTGCTTTTACTTGGTCACTTACAACAAGCTCTGCAACATTTGGCTTATTTTATTATTATTTTCTGAAATTGTATATAGTTTACTTCATTGGTCTCACAACAAAATCTGCACTATTTTATTCTACTCTGTTACTCATTGCACTATTTTATTTTAATATTTATTTGATGTCTCATATTAAGGCTGAATTGTTGGAGCAGATTGAGATTTAAGTTTTTTATTGGCATATCTACACTGTAGCTACTGTGCATATGAAAATAAAGCCTTTGAATGTAGTGTTAATAGCATTATACCATATGTGTATTTGATGGTAACTTTTATTTATAGTCAGTGGTGTAAAGTAACTAAGTATATTTACTCAAGTACTCAAGTGCTATTTTGAGGTACTTGTACTGTACTTGAGTATTTCCATGTTATGCTACTTTGTACTTCTACTCCACTACAGTTCAGAGGTCAATGGTGTACCTTGACTCCACTGCATGTATTTAATCCCTTGAGTTACTTCACAGATGTGGATGAATGATGTGAAATCTAATCAAGTGTTAAATCAGACTTTAGTTCCACCTGGAGTAAATCCACAAGCTACCCTGCAGTATACAAAGTCATTCAAACTAGCTGCACCTTTACCAGCTTTGAGAACACTTTCATGATCAATCATGAATACTTTTCTACTTTTACTTGAGGAACATTTTGAATGCAGGACTTTTACTGTAACAGAGTATTCCTGCACTCTGGTACTTCTACTTTTACTCAAGTACAAGATCTGAGTACTTCTGCCTTTACTCAAGAACAAGATCTGAGTACTTCTACTTTTACTGAAGTACAAGATCTGAGTACTTCTACTTTTACTCAAGTACAAGATCTGAGTANATTTGGCATGCTTTTATATCTGCAGGCCGGAAGTTAACGCTGTTGAACAGGAAGTTGTTGTTCGCATGTGAAAACAACGAAAAGTTTCCACAGCGGGCAGAACTTGTCATGGGAGAAGACCCTCGAATAATAACACCCCATACCATATTAGAGGAAGAGAAGATAATTGGTCATAGATTAGTACTGTCAGAGAAACTCGCTCAAACACCGGAAGTAGCTTACGCCAAGTCTCTTAGTTGACAAAGCAAGCAATTTATCCCATTAGGAGTCTTCTCGCAAAACAGCTCCGACACTACCAAGTCTGCCGTGGTTGAACACACAAAATTTATAAGAGCATAAATCACGTTTGTTCGTACGACATTAAATACATCAGCAGTGAACCACACTGTAAATTATATGAAGAGTTTTAGAGTTACGGAAAAACACGTGGTTGTTACCCTAAAAGCGCAAGATGGTCAGAACCATGAATCAGGACTACAGAGAATATGTCCAGAGGCCGTTGTACGCTAAACAACTCCGCTAAGTTATATATGTTTTCCCCTGTTGTTCGCTAGAAAGCAAGCTATACCATATAATCTTTAGTATCTGTAAATATATCTGACCATTAGAAATCTGTATTTTTGAATTGATCCCGTTTCATAACCAAGCACGCGGCGTCAGTAAACAAATTTATAGACATAATTAATCACCAGCAGTTTTCTCAAGTTTCCTCGGCATATCGTTATCGTCTATGCAACCCCACTCAATCACAACTCCAACATACGTTAGCTACAAGCGTAGCAGTACTAGTTATGCTACACAATGGTTTTGTATACCTTTGCTCCACCGGGTTGCAGCACAGGAAATGTACCCTACACACAATAGAAACAGTGCTTGTTCAATCATTCGCCGACAATGTTTTCATAAGAGAGTCTGGATTCGTGCCACTGAGGCTCAGAGACTGACGCACCCTACACTCCTCCATGTCCACAAAAAGGTAGAAATGCTAAATGAGTGGTAGTGACGTATCGCGTTTTAGAGATGGTGCCTAGAGACATGAAAAGAACCCGCAACATAAGTAAGATAATGCGCCAAAATCCCTATCATAAAACCTGTGTGGCTTTCTTTATGATAAGTCTAATTACTAATCCAACATGCCATAACGTGCACCCATATAACTAAAGATTGTAGTCAAGCTAATAATACAGTTTGACAGTATTAAACTATATAAAACACACACAATTCTGGCTTGCAAAGAGAACGTCTCTGGCTCCATAGCTTCTCAGACAGATAAACATGTACATTATATACACCATAAATATTTCAATTTAACTCATACCCATCCTCACATACTTTTGTATATATAATAAAACTTCATATTTTGTTTTCTTGTTATGCGTTATGCTGCGCTGCCAACACAAACATTTCCCCAAATTGGGAGATCAATACCAGGTAATATCTTATCTAATTAATTAAGAATATGAACTATTATAGGTTAGTGTAGCCTGACACCTAGTGTTCAATATGGATCTTACATGGCGTACCATTTATGTTCTTTAGTTCAATTTTGATCTATAAAAATGTCAAAAATAGTGAAAAGTTTTCAGCAAGACTTATCAAAGTGCAAGGGTTACTATCTTTAGTGTTTTGTTTTAGCGAAGCCTATGTACTGGTGTCTTAATGCTCTTATATGTGAGGGGGTGATCTGAAGACTAATACTTGTTACTATATTCCACAGACGAGTTGACAGAAACCTACACACTACAAAATAACAACCACAACATTGCAGAAGGCGAGTAAACATGTAAATTACAAACATTCACATTTTATCTAAATTTCTTACATATCCTTCTTATGCAAAAGAGAGTGAGGTGAAGACTGACCACATAGACACATTCTGGTGAACCACGTAAGGATGTTCCACAAGCAGGCTCATGTTTCTCCTCATCCCTATATTATACTGACCACAGCAACCCTTGATTAGTGCAATGCTTCACTAATATGTCATTTCCCGTGCTCCCAGAGTAGGGAACTCTCCCTACCACATATTACACAGCACAGCAAGAAGCACACCCATATACCAAGCCCATATGCTGGAGATGCCCCTAACATCTGACACCATGGACCTGCATTCTGAAGGTTGCAGTGGTGAATGCCCTGATAATGCAAAACAAAAACACCCTTCACAACTATCATTACATAGTCCTAACTGACACCGACAAACACCCACCATACCACGGCCCTGTTAGTCTCGACAACACACAGCGCGCCACCCAAGTATAAGCGCAATAAGGGAAGCAAGTCACAAAAAAACAAACCCCAAAAGAACAAAGACACCCACCTTGACCATCAGAAGAAGCTCAAAGATTAGATACACGCGCGAGCAGTACCAAACCTGTCCTTTCCTGGACCAAAATGCCCAGAGAGTTCTTAGCCTATGGTATCAATGACCACAGTGGTAGACACACCCGCCTGAATCATGCCGCTAGCTGTTGCGTGTTCAGCGAACAGCGTACACGTGTTGACCAAGTGCCGAATTCGTTTCCTATCGTTACAGGCTCGGGGAGAAACCAAGAAGTTACTGAGCAAAGACACCGCTGACGCTCTTTACCCGGCAGCGCCCAGCTCACGCATCTTCGGAGGTCGCGCGCGTCTCCTGTTGGATACGACCGGGTTAAAGAATAGATCTCTAACTTGGTTGAGGAACAGCTTCATATCCCTTCGGGACGCGAGAGAGATGCACTACAGATATATTAGCTGCCGTTCTGGCGTCTTCACTCCAGGAGTGGTGTTCTAGTGCCACGCTTGAAAACTAATGTAGCACAATCGGCAAAGCACATACGCTCATCCGCCGGACCGCATGACCTGCATTTCCATTCTCCACAATGCGAGCATAATCACATATTTGTGGAGAGCACATTCTCTTATATATCAAACCTGTAAGTCAGCCTGTGCGCTCGTCCGCGCTCTCGTTTTCCCTCATCAATAGTTATAACAATATATTTACAATACTAGGTCACATGCCATACAACCCTCTATCAACACCGTTAATTCCGGTTTAAGCCGCATACTGTAACTAGTTTAATTCACTGGAATAAGTCTCAATCTGTGTTTTCTGGTGTGTCACATACTCTCTCCGAGAAACTCTCTCTCGAGGCTCATCACTCCATATAGTGACTACATGACAATAAGAAAAAACCAAAAAAATAAAAACAAAATCACCCCGCACTCAGATATAGGGAAGCAGCTCACACGCTTCTGACCTCACGGACAGCTCCAAATTGCTGGCAGCTCAACCCTTACCCTCTTCCTGAACAATATGCCATTATCTACCCTCGGAGACTAGAGGATGCTCACCGAATTAGACATCTTGTTGCTCTTTTCAGGAGACAATTGCAGGCTTTGCCCACAAATTCCTTCAGGTTCCTGATGGTCCAAACAGATTTGATCCATTTAAAGGAACATAAAGTGTTTACACAAAGGATGTAAGTGTTCTTTTCTTTTTCTGGCTCGGGGGAGAGAAGTTTCGAAAAGTTAGCTGATGACCTTGCCGCGTGCTCTGTCTCCTCAGCCAAGAGCCGATATCTTCGGGGTGGCTCTCTCTGACTTCTAGCCTGGGTTAAATTAGTTATTGGTTTCAACAGTCACATTAAAACAGTTAATAAATCAGCTTACTATCACCTAAAGAACATATCTAGGATTAAAAGACTAATGTCACAGCAGGATTTGGAAAAACATGTCCATGCTTTTATCTTCAGTAGACTGGACTACTGTAATGGTGTCTTCACAGGTCTCACTAAAAAATCCATTAGAAAGCTGCAGCTAATTCAGAGCGCCACTGCTCGAGTCCTCACTAACACTAAGAAAGTGGATCACATCACTCCTGTTCTGAAGTCTTTACACTGGCTTCCTGTATGTCAAAGAATAGATTTCAAAATACTGCTGCTGTTTATAAAGCACTGAATGGTTTAGGACCAAAATGCATTTCTGACCTCCTGCTAAATTATGAACCATCCAGATCTCTCAGGTCTTCAGGGACTGGTCAGCTTTCTGTCCCCAGAGTCAGAACTAAACATGGTAAAGCCGCATTCAGTTATTATGCTCCAAATATCTGGAACAAACTCCCAGAAACCTGCAGGTCCGCTGCAACTCTTACTACTTTTAAATCCAGGCTGAAGACTTTTCTTTTTGTCGCTGCTTTTAATTGAACTATTCATATCTTAGACTGCACTGTAACTTTTATCCATCTATTTTTTCTTTTAATGTTTATTTTATTAGCTTTTCTTTTTAATGACTGATTTTAAATGCCATTTTCTTAATGTCTTTCATTTTTTGTAAAGCACTTTGAATTGCCTTGTGTTGAAAAGTGCTATATAAATAAACTTGCCCTTGCCTTGCCTAATAAAGATTTTATGTGACACATACAATTGATTTGTTGATGGGAATGTATGTGAATAATTTATCTCTAGGTTAACGGTACTCTTGCTATCACTACTCACCGACACTATAAACCTTGTCCCTCATGCTAGCCCTGACAACACCGGTAAGCACACCTTCATCTAGGCTGCACTGTAACGTGTCCTGACTTGTAGTGGTTCTCTCCTCTATCTACACTCTTCTTGTCATCTTTGTAAAACGATATCAGACTGGTAATTGACACAGCCATGACTTCTAGTTAAATTCAGTGTGGCTAAAATGAAAAGCTTTGTTAAAATATGCAAGCACGCGAAAGTCAAATTCAGCTTTATTGTCAAAAATTCTACATGTGTTATACATCCAGAAATATCGAAATATCGTTTCCCACAGTGTGACATGTATACATAAAACAAAACAAAAAGGGCCTAGATAAACGTGGTATACATTAAACAAAACAAAAAGGGCCTAGATAACCGGGGTATACAGTTTAAAATGTTAATATATTTAATTTAAAGTGTTCAAAGTGCAGTTTCAGTGCAAGTCAGCCAAGGCACACGAGGGGATAGGTGGGGATAGTATTACATATCATAATTATATGTAAATGTTTACATTACACTTCTTTATTTGTTATGCTCATACTTTTTACCTTTACAGTCGTTTTGCTTTAATATGGCAGTCTATATTATTGTATATTTTTATGTTTGCTTCCTCCTGCTCCCTTTCGGGAACATACTGTATGATTTAATTATGTATTATTAATATGAAGATATTATTAAGATAGATAAGATAAGATGTTACTTTATTGATTGAACATTTTAGTTTAGGAATATGCTGTCCACTGGTAATTCCAGAAGGGCTCCACAGGTCACATTCCGACCATTATTTAAAAACCAGGGGTGGGGAACCTCCAGGCCTCCGGGCCGTATTACGGCCCGGCGAGGACATTTGGTACGCCCTCGGATAATTTAAGCACACGCAAAAAAGAAAAAAAATCAAGGAATCTAGGACTGGCAACAAGTAATTAAACAAGCTTGTTTTTACCTCTGGCCGAAGTTCAGGGTCTGTTATGTACTCACGAGGCCTAACGTGTCATCTACGTTGGTATAGTGTCTCGGTCTGGACAGGGAGTGTAGTTCTAACGGAGAGCACCGATTGCAGGCTCCGGGCCTTGGGACTCACAAATTGCAGTTACCCATAAAGGGAGCTGTACACATGCCGCATTTTGGCATGGCTGTGTCTTTATTGTAAAGCCCGAGTGGCGATCTGTTCATTGTCATATGATCATACAGGTCTTTTTGTGTTTAGCATCTGTGTTAGCAGCTATGGCTAACGGAATATAAGAGCTTTTTTCAACCAGTGAGGGTAAAGGCACATCTTTATTATGATCTATTATAGTTATAGACAAATTAAGAGAATAA